CCTGCAGAAGCGGCTGTCCAAGCCGATGAGCGCGACAACCTTCGTCAGGCCGATCCCGGAAATCCCCGTAATAGAGATCTCAACTCGGAGATTCAGCAACTTTTGAACGTACATAAGCGGAAGAAATGGGAAGAGCATCTGAAGACCTGCAACTTCGCCTCTGGTGTGAGTAAGCTTTGATCAACAGTAAGGTCACTGTCCAACCCGACGAAGCGTGACGACAGAGTTGAAATATACTTTGGTGAACACGCTTCGTTGGACTCGGAGTGATTAGTGAGCTATTTTGGTCGGCAGTGCATCTTGCATCTTCCGGTGGATAAAGCGAAACGTCGAGTGACCAGTAGGCTGCACAAACTGTCAAAACCAAGTGCGTCTCTTGTTTTCACCAGCGGTGAGGTAAGGATAGCCATCGGGAAGGCGAAAGCCTCCAAAGCCATTGGACCCGACGGAATATGCATGCTGATGCTGAAAAATTTGGGTCCTACGGGAGTAGCGGAGCTTTAAGCTGCCTTTACATGAGGTTATTTTTTGACAGGCGACAATAGCCTGCAAAAGTTCACTTGCTGTCTACTTTGAGGCAAGCGATTTTTGAATCACTATTTACACGGGCGATTTTTCTGGAGCAATGTTGAATCGCCCAGAAAATCGCCTCATGTAAATCCAGCTTTACGGACGTCCTCAACTCTCGTCATTCCAGACATCTGGAAGGATGGGGAAAGTGGTCCCACTGCTCAAACCGAGGAAACCAGCTAACAAAGGAGAGTCTTATCGTCCGATAATCCTCTTTCCCCTGTAACGAAGGCACTAGAGGCCTTGCTACTCCCGTATTTTACAAACCCCTGACCACAGCGATGCATCAGCATGGGTTCCGTAAAGTGCACAGCCCAACAACAGCACTTAACGATTATCGATTGTCTCTTATGCTGACGATTGCTCTATCATGGCGTCCGCGAATGGAGTTGATGCCTTGTGCTCGAAAGTAAACGGTTATCTCGCAGAGATTTTCCGCTTCTTCACTGCACGGAGCCCAACCCTCTCCCCTACAGAATCCTCAGCCTCACTTTTTAAAAGCTGGACGAAGGAGGTCAGATTCCAACTGGGAATTCATGTCGATGATACACCAATTCCGACGGTGAACCCTAAGATACTCGGAGTAACATTCGATAGTCTGCTCTCCTTCTCGGCGCATACAACCGCAATTGTCAACAAAGTACAAAGCCGCATCAAGATCCTCAAGTCGCTAGCCGGCAGGACCTAGGGCAAAGACAAAGAAACATTGCCGGCAACGCACAAGGCAATTGGCCGGCCGATTCTTTACTACGCTGCGCCCGTGTGGTCACAGGGGACTAGTAGGGCGCAGTGGATGAATCTGCAGACTTGCCAGAACACGGCACTTAGGACAGCGGCAGGATGGCTCTTTATGTCGCCGAAAACCACCTGCACGAGGCCTACATGCTCCCTGTTAAGGGGGCATAACATAATGCTCTACAGGCAGTTCCAGGTTGGGGGCCACAGATGTGGCCATCCAAACAGGCAACCCCTTGCAGAAGAGCCTTCGCCCAGGCACGTCAGGAGGCATCTCTATGAACTGACGGACGAGGTCCAGAGGCTCATCAAAGAACCTCTGTACCGACTGCTTATTGACAGGCCTTGAATGGCATTCACAGAGAGGCAGTTTCGAGTTTGTAGACTCCCGGCCTGTGAAAGCCGTTCTGGGCACACAACCATCAGACGTGGACGAGACAGAACTTCGTTTGCTCGCGAGACTCGGACCATAATAGCCCAACTGCGCTCTGGTTACTGCAGCAGGTTGAACTCATACCGGTGCACATTAAACGAAGATATTCTCATCGAATGCCCGCCATGCGGAGAGTCGCCCAAGACTCACAGCATCTCTTCGTATGCCCTCTAAACCCCACCACGCTAACGCCACTGTCCCTATGGACAGACCCCGTCGAGGCTGCACGCTTCCTAGGGCTGCCGTTAATGGAGCTTGACAACAACGATTGAGGGACTAACTGATCTGGGCGTGGTCGTTGTAGCCGCTACAACAACAGAAACAACAATTATTGCTATTGCTCTAAAGAACCTACATTCTGAAAACGAAAGTTATATCTGCGAATTATAGGTTGCTAGAACAGGCTCCAAAATAAGCCAATATTTACCGATGTTTCTACGACAGATACCGAATTGGTTACTTATTAAAATGTATCTGTTTGGTTTTTTTTCTTGAAACGCCAGACGTCTCTTTGAAATCGCTTCACTAGTTCTTGTGCAATAAGTGTTTTTGTGAACCTCTATATTATAACTACACCATTTGATGAGCATAGCCTCTATATCGAAACGTAGGTTGGTGTTATGCAGACAAACTTTTGTTTGCCAAATTAAATGGCGGCTGCTTAGTTTGCTCGGAGGTGGTTATGCCGAGTTTGGCATAGCGTTGCACGTTCATTATGGTTTTCATGGCTATTGCCAACACGAAATCAGAATTTCAGATGTACATAACGCGCACAATTAATATATTTTTTATATCGTATAGGCAAATAGGCCTCCGACCACTGGACTGCTCAGTCCGCCTAAAACCGGTTTTGTGTGGATAAGAGGGGGAAGAGTTTACCTCGCTCATTTCAGTCCGCGAAAATCGCGGATTGACGGTGGACTGACACGCACACATAGACAACGTGTTTTCTATTTCGTTTTGTTTTCATGTGCCATATGCACTAACAAAATCCTGCGTAGGTTATGTAAACAAAACTGAAACCTGTTTTCGGCCGACTGCCCAGTCCAGTGTGCGTTCGAGTGGTGGACTGCTCAGTCCGACTGAGCAGGCTAGTGTGCTCAGGCCCATTAACTGTGCCCTAATCTTATAAGCTCCTACAGCATAAATTCAGTTCTCTGGCTTTCGGTATCACGGCAACTTTTGTGTATAGCAACAATTGTCTAAAATTTTTGTATATGACAACACCGAATTTCCTGCAGTTTGACCAAACAAAATTAGTTTGCTGTGA